ATTGAAAACAAAAAAAAAAACAAATAAACAGAAGATCCAGGAGGAGGAGGCCCAGAAATCAGGATTTTAAAAAGATTCCCAGGTGATTCTAATGTGCAGCCAAGGTTGAGAACCACTGGGTTGAGCGATGGTTAGAACAAATCCTGCCCTCCATCACTGAGTACCTGCGCACCCGGGGACTGGCACGCTGCACGAGTCAGCTTGGCTCACTAGTTTTAAGCTTCACCAAAGGCTCTGACAGCTTAGCAGGAGACCGAGGGAGGTCCCACTCTCACTGAACTGTTTTCAGGACTGATTTGCTCTTGTCCGTAGTGAGGTCTGCCTTTGTATGCAGAGGGTGATCTTTTGGATTTGCCGGTCTGGAAGCCATGGGAGCGTCTTAATCTTGCAAGTATAGGTCTGGTAGGAAAGACTTGATGTCAGCCAAGTGAATGTCCCTTTTCCGACTCTGCCCTGAAGCCCATCTCTGGATTTTGACCTTAGTTTTTCCTTCCTAATCTTGAATCTACCGTTTGCAGCTGTCCTCTGTGAGAACTTTCTTTGTATTAATGTTGTTTTTTTCTTACTTTAATGTTTCTTAAGCTTCCTTACGCTCCAGGCATTTCACAAACTTTTATTTCTTATGGATCATTTAAGAATATAAATTAATTTTTTTGCCTCTATTAAGGGCTGTTTTTTTTTCCAGTTTTATGCCCTTTTTTTGTGTCTGTAGAAATTCCCCTTTTGCCTGTTTGGATTGCCTTGAACAATGAAGAATGATTTTTCTCAGACACTCTGGTGACATGTTTTCTCTGGATGCTTTACACCTGGCCTTGCCCTACATATGCTCTTCACTAAGGGCCTGGTTTTAGTTCAGGTTCCATTATCTTCTAAATGTGTGCCTTTGGGCAGGTGTTTTAAATCTTTAAGCCTTAGTTTCTGCATGTGTAAATTAGGTAATGGTTGTTGTAGGCAACAAATAAAATTTGTGAAAGTACTTGCTACACCTTAAAATATAAAAATATAGGTAATTTATCTGGCTAAAATTGCTATGTATCTTCTCACCTTCTTCCTAGTTGAATTATGCCTTAATTATTCCATCAATGTTTTATTTTATTGTTAAATTAGAGGCTCGGTGCACAAAATTCATGCATGGGTGGGGTGCCTCGGTCTGGCCGGAGATCGAGGCTGATCAATCGGGGCCGATCAGGGCCAGCTGGGGGAGGTTGGCTGTGGGAGTGCACTGAACACAAGGGGGTAGCTCCTGCGTTGAGCGTCTACCCACTGGTGGTCAGTGCGCATCATAGCGACCGGTCATAAAGGTCACTTAGGCTTTTATATATATAAACTAGAGGCCCGATGCATGAAAATTCATGCAAGAGTAGGCCTTCCTTCCCCCAGCTGCTGGCAATGGCTTCCCTCTGGCATCTGGGACCCAGGCTTCCCTCCTCTGGCCGCCCACAGGCACCTGGGACCCCGGCTGGCTTCCCTCCAACCCTGGCTTTATCAGGAAGGATGTCCGGAATGACGTCCGTAGGACATCTGGTCTAATTAGTATATTACCTTTTTATTATTATATAAATAGGTTGCAAATTCACTGGTTCACTATTTGTAGTGTGGCAAAGGCAAGCAGCATTTATTTATTTATTTTGTTGTTAATTCTCACGTGAGGATATTTTTCCATTGATTTTTAGAGAGAGTGGAAAGAAAGGGGAGAGACAGAGACAGAGAAACATCCATGTGAAACACACACATTGATTGGTAAAGGCAATCAGCTTTTCAATTTAAACCACCATAGAGGAAAATGTATCTGGGATTCTAAAAATAAGGACATTCAAACAGTAGGATTGTTCTAAAAGATACTATTAAAAAAAGATTCATCTTTTAAATTACAGTATTACACTTAAGAATATGAGTATCTACTAAGGCTAATAGTTATTTCTACAAGGTAAAGTTTTTTTGTACATTTCTGCATTATCATTTATAATGAGCATGCATCACCTTCACAAAAACAGTTGAATTTTACAAAACTAGTGTATGGCATTTGGCAGTTTAATCTGTTAGGCCAGTGGTCCCCAAACCGAGGCTCGCGAGCCACATGCGGCTCTTTGGTTCCTTGAGTGTGGCTCTTCCACAAAATACCACATGCGGGCACACATGTACCGTGCGATTGAAACTTCATGGCCCATGCGCAGAAGTCGGTTTTCGGAAAGGAGATAGACTAAACAAGTATACAAGACGAGTGTGGATGGGAGAGTTGGAAGGGGTCGACCTCAGCGAATGTACCTCAATCAGATTGAGGACATTTTTAGCAAAGGCCAGCTTAGGAGTACTCTAATTAAGTTAATAACAATGTACCTACCTATATAGTTTAAGTTAAAAAAATTTGGCTCTCAAAAGAAATTTCAATCGTTGTACTGTTGATATTTGGTTCTGTTGACTAATGAGTTTGCCGACCACTGTGTTAGGCTGCAAATGACTGGTTGGTGATACTACTTCAGCCCAGTGACTGAACTGTGGCCAGAGTGGGATCGAATGGCCCTTGCAGTGAAATGGCAGCTGGAGTGGTAATGAATAAATTGTGATAGTTTTAAATCACTTATACTTTGGTTGGTTAAAAATGTCAAACTCTGGCCTAGCTGGCGTGGCTCAGTGGTTGAGCATCAACCTATGAACCAGGAGGTCACGAGTCGATTCCCAGTTAGGGCACATGCTTGGGTTGTGGGCTTGATCCCCAGTGTGGGGTGTGTGGGGTGATTCTCCCTCATCATTGATGTTTCTATCTCTCTCTCTTTCCTCTCCTCTCTGAAATCAATAAAAATATATTTTTTATAAAACGTCAAACTCTGGAAATGTTACTAACCTGGAAGAGGATAGATTAGAGACATTTCTGGGTAAATAGTTTGTATTGCAAATGTATTGCCAATGTCAATTTTTTTCATTTGTTCTTTTAGTTTTTATGGTTGATATTAAAAAGATATATGTACCTGCCATTAAAAGTTTCTAAATATTCTGCTTATTCATTTAGCTAAGGAAGGAAATGTGGTATTACCCCATTTTATAGATGAAGTCATCAAGCCTACCTTACCTTAAGTCCTATGGTTTTCATTTCCCCATGTATAAATTAGAGTTGGTGCTTACAATGATCTTTTTCTCATTATCATTCTAAAAGGATAAACAAACTGAATTACTCTTATATTTTTATTTTTCTTGTCTCTTACAGGTATAGAGAAAGAAAAAATAACCCCACTCCCCCACCCCAACATATTTTTTAAATCATAAATCTCTTTTATTTTCAAGTGCTTAGATACTTAAAGAAGATTTCTTGAAGACTGCTTTTGGAATAAAAAAGCATGGATCCCAGCAGTGACTACCATTACCTCAATCAGATTTTGTGGAGAAGGGTGAAACTCACATTGGTTTGTGGCATCTTTGAGGGAGTGCTCCAGCATGTGGACCCTAACAAGATTGTTGTCTTGAAGAAAGGTCTCTTTTTATTTCTCATAATCTTCTGCTGTTTAAGAAATTCATAGCTTAGTTTGGGTGATGACTGGGCTCCACTGGGATTATTAGTAGGCATCATTCCTATTTTAGGAAAGGGTAG